ATCTCACAGACTCTCACAAAACCCCATGAAATATGAATCCCTCTGACAGACGAGGAAACCCAGGTTCTGAGAGGCAAGTCACTTTCCTGGACTCACAGCACTAAGTACTTTCAGTTCAGGGCTCTCTCTGTTTCATCATTATGCTCACCTAAAGGTTCCTGAGCAGCAAGATGGGCAGCTAACTAGCTTCAGTGCCATTTACCCTGAAAGGGAGTAGGAGGTAAAAGATCTTGCCACAGGTACCAAATGAAATGTTGTGGGGTTTTTTTTTTTTTTTTTGAGAAAGCAGGATTGAGAGGACAGTAAAGCTCCCACAGTTGGATGGGACCGGAAGGGGTTGCCCGTTTTTTGTTTTGTTTTGTTTTTTGAGTTAAGGTCTCACTCTGTTGCCCAGGTTGGATGCAGTGGCACGATCATGGCTCACCTCAACCTCGACCTCTTTGGCTCAGGCGAGCCTTCCACCTCAGCCTTCTGAGTAGCTGGGACTACAGGAACATACCACCATGCCTGACTAATTTTTTGTAGAGACATGGTATCACTATGTTGCCCAGGTTGGTCTCAAACTCCTTGGCTCAAGCGTTCTCCTCACCTCAACTTCCCAAAGTGCTGGGATTATAAGCATGAGCCACCGTGTCCAGCAAAATGGTTTGCTTTGTTTTGTTTTTAAAGATGTAGGGTACAATTCAAGGTTAGGTATACAAACCTTGATTATGCAGTTACCCTTGTTGATAAGGTATGCCTCTCTTTTCCCGAAATGGGTTCTTTTTTTTTTTTTTTGAGTTGGAGTCTCCCTCGGTCGCCCAGACTGGAGTGCGGTGGCCGGGCCTCGACCTGTTGGGCTCCGGCGATCCTTTCACCTCAGCCTTCCAAGTAGCCGGAATTACAGGCGTGCGCTACCACGCCCGGCTGATTTTTTTTGATTTATTGTAGAGATGAGGTCTCGCTGCCCAGGTGGGTCTCGAACCGGCTGGCTCAGGCAATCCACTCACCTCAGCCTCCCAAAGGCGTGGGATTACAGGCTGCCACCAAGCCCAGCGAAATAACAGCACCACCTCCCTGCTCTACTGTCCAATCAGCGCTGCGGCTCTCTCTATTCCTTACAGAAGTGAGAAAGGCAATGCCTTTTCTTCTGCCTCTTCCTCTTTACCCACTTCTCAGCCAGGTGTACAATGGGAAGAACTTCAGAAAAGAGATGGGAGGATGCTGGTGAGAGATGCTATAGGAGAGTTGGGTACAATGAGAAGGACGTTCTTCTACAACAGACACAAAGGTACCAGAAAGGTCCCAGTAGCATTTCAAGGGATCAAGCCATAGACTCTAAGGGTCAGAAATTAATACTGTCACTCCGCCATGAGGCAAACCCTGTCTCAGGGATTTCAAGCTTAGGCACATACATAAAATACATGAAAACTAGGTCTGTATTTCACAACCTGGCACTTTCTACGAGGTGTGTTTAATGATAAAGTATCAAGATCTTATTAATGTTTTTAATGAGACATGGTTGTTTATACAAAAACATTAAAGATCGAATGGGGCCAAAGAAACATTTACTCCCACAATTGCAATACTTGACCGCATGTCTGAACACCTGCTGTGTGAGATATCTTCCCAACAGCATGTCCTTCCATTTATCTGTGATATCTTGGACTGAGATTTTTTTTCAAAACCTGCAACAGGGATTGTTAAGGCCACAGATGGCAATTTTTGTGCACAATGTGTACAGAAGATACAAAACCATGTCTCCTTAGGATCTAAGGAAAAGGACCTAGTTTATGGGCGTTTATAGGAAAAGCTCTATGTTACGTGCTTTATATACGATTTTATTTGATTCTCTGAACAACCCTATGTGGCAGATAATATATACCCATGTTACAAATTAAGAAATTAAGATTAAGAAAAGTAAGGTATCATGCCCAAGCTCACACAGCCAGTGAGTGGCAGAACTGGTCTTCCACCTGTGCTTATCTGACTTAAAAACACTTGTCTAACTAAAAAAGACGCCTGCCATTCTATTCAACATTGTACTGGAAGTCCTAGCAAAAGCAATCACATGAGAGAGAGAAATAAAAGGCATCCAAATTGGCAAGGAGGAAGTCAAACTCTCTGTTGACAACATTGTTATATACCTAGAAAACCTTAAAAACGACTCCAAGAGACTTCTAGACTTGACAAATGACATCAGTAGAGTTTCAGGATACAAAATCAACGTACAAAAATCAGTAGCATTCCTATATACCAATAATGCTCAAGTCAAGAACCAAATCAAGAGCTCAATCCCATTTACAATAGCCACACACACAAAAAAACCAACCTAGGAATACATTTAGCCAAGTAGGTGAAAGACCTCTACAAGGAAAACTACACAACACTGGTGGAAGAAATTATAGATGAGAAAAACAAATGGAAAAACACCCCACGTCCAAAGATTGGAAGAATCAATATCATTAAAATGACCATAATGCCCAAAGCAATCTATAGATCCAATGCAATCCCTATCAAAATACCAACATCAGTTTTCACAGAACTAGAAAAAAACAATCCTAAAGATTATGTGGAACCAAAACAGAGCTCGAATAGCCAACGCAATCCTAAGTTTTAAAAAAGCAAAAAAAAAAAAAAAAAATGCAGAGGCATTACACTGCTTGATTTCATATTACACTACAAGAATACAGTAACTAAAACAGCACAGTACTGGTAAAAAATTAGATCAATGGAACAGAATAGAAAACCCAGAAATAAAGCTACATGCCTACAACCAACTGATCTTCAGCAAAGCTGATAAAAATAAACAAAGGGGGAAATGACACCTTAATCAATAAATGTTACCAGAAAAACTGGCTAGCCATATGCAGAATAATGAAACTGGGCCCCTACCTCCCACCATGTACAAAAATTAACTCAAGACGGATTAAAGACATAAACGTTAAGACCTGAAACTATAAAAGTCCTAGAAGAAAACCTAGGAAAAACTCTTTCAGATATTGGCTTAGGCAAGTAATTTATGATGGAAACCCCAAAAACAAATGAGATAAAAAATAGACAAATGGGACTTAATTATTGTTAAAAAATTTCTGTACAACAAAAGGAATAATCGACATAATGAACAGAAAGTCTACAGAATGAGAGGAAATATTGGCAAATCATGCCTCACACAAAGGAACTGGAATCTACAAGGAACTCAGACAATTCAACGTGAAAGAAACAGATACCATCAAAAAATGGGCAAAGGACAAGAATATACACTTCTCCAAAGAAGACACACAAGCAGCCAACAAACATGAAAAATGTTCAGTATCACTATCTGAGAAATACAAGTTAAAACCACAATGAGATCATCTTACACCAGCCAGAATGGTGATTATTAAAAAGTCAAAGAACAACAGATGGCGTGGATGTGGAAAAAGAGAAGATTGTAAACTGGTTCAATCTCTATGGAAAACAGTATGGAGATTTCTCAAAGAACTAAAATAGAACTACCATTTGACCCAGAAATCCCATTCCTAGGTATCTACCCACAGAAAAATAATTGTATTAAAAAAAAATAACTGTACTCATGTGTTTGCATCACTATTCACAATAGCAAAGTCATGGAACCAACCTAAGTGCCCTTTAACAATAGACTGGATAAGGAAAATGTGGTATGTATACACCATAGAATACTATGCAGCCACAAAAAAGAAAGACATCATGTCTTTTGTAGCAACATGGATGGACATACAGAACATCCTAAGTGAACAAACTCAGAAACAGAAAAACACTGCACATTCTCATTTATATGTGGGAGCTAACTGGCCATAAAGATGGAGATAACAGACACTGGGGACACTCAAGTGGGGAGGCAGGAAGGGGAATTAGGGTTCAGAAGTTACCTGTTGAGCACAATGTTCATTACGCGGAGTATGGGTCATCTGAAGCCTAATCCCCATATATGCAACATGTCCCTGTAACAAATATGCATGTGTACCCCTGAATCTATAATAAGAAAGATACCTAAACACATGAACTGAGAATGAAGTGTAGAAAAGTGGAGTTATTTTCAAGGTGAACAATATTTAAAATAGCCTTCTGTCTTAGCCTTCCGAGTAGCCGGAATTACAGGCACACGCTACCATGCCCGGCTGATTTTTTTTTTATTTATTTATTGTAGAGATAAGGTCTCACCAAGTTGCCCAGGTGGGTCTCGAACCCACGGGCTCAGGCAATCCACTCACCTCAGCCTCCCAAAGCATGGGATTTCAGGCTGAGCTACCGAGCCCGGCGTATTCAGTACTATAAATCAGGCCAGGCACAGTGGCTCATGCTTGTAATCCCAGCACTTTGGGAGGCCAAGGATTGTAATCCCAACACTTTGGGAGGTTCAGTACTTCTGAGCCCAGGAGTTCAAGACCAGCCAAGGCAACATAGTGAGACCTCACCTCTACAAAAAAAAAAGATTAGTGAGGTGTGGTGGTGTGTGCCTGTGGTTCCACCTACATAGGAGGCTGAGGCAGAAGATCACCTGAGTGCAGAAGGTAAAGGCTGCAGTGAGGTGTGACTGTGCTCACTTCAGGCTGCGTGACAGAATGAGGCCCTGACTCAAAAAAAAAAAAGTTATTATAAATAATCTAGAGGATGTAATAATGTGAGTAATTATAGGAGATATGTGTAGGTTATATGCAAATGCTCCACCATTTTTATATAAGAGATTTGAGCACCTTTGAATTTTGGAATCCATAGAGGGTCCTGAAACCAAACCCCATCCAATACTGAGGGGCAGCTGAATAGACACATTTATCTGCCCAAACTTCCTCTAACCAGACACCAAATCTTAGCCACATTACAGAAATTAGGTAAAGCCAGAGGTGACAAATTCTCATAACTTTATCACTTCCCATCCAGGAGAGTTTAAAATGAATTTTTTCATGGAGTCAGTTTTAAAAGAGCCATTGTGTCTAATAGTTTGAGGTCTTTCAACATTAGCATATAAAACACACCAGAAGAACACAGAAAACAGGCCATACCAAGCAGCCCACAGAAAGAAGCATGTGAAGCAACACAATTGTGACAATCGTGGCCAGTGCAATTCGCCGGTTATCCTCACGCACGGCCGGCCAAAATGTCATCGCCAAGACGGATCCTGAGATGCCCAGGGCAATCGTGACTAGAATCCAACGAACAGCTTTCTGGGGGATGATCCACAGTATCTGAAAGAAGAGAAAAGGGAGGGGCTCTTTGGAGGCAGTTTAGAGAGGCATTTGTTCATTCCAGGCACATATGTTTACAAAGGCCCTGGAGCCAATCAGCAGCTGGGCCCCCACTGCCACCCTGGTTTTCAGGACAGACTGGAGAAACACCACCAGCAGGCAGACTGAGGCAAGTGCTCTTTTAAGGAAAGTTCTGAGATCCAGTGGTGGCACCTGGCTCCCCAGCCCCCACTCATGCTGAACTTCTGTATGCAAAAAGAATGTCCAGGAGCACATGAGTATTAGGCTGGAAATAACGATGCTTGGTCAAACTCTTGGCTGAATTTTCAACCACAAACAGAGCATCACTCCAAATGTGTGCCCTGGGTGTCATACTTACGGCTGTGGGGATGTAAATGAAGAGTGAATATCCATAGACACACACAATCTCCAGAAACGAATAGGACACAATATTCATAACTTTGCTGTTTCTCCACATGAGGAAGCCCCAGAGCGCAAGAGGAACCAGCCAGGCATAGGCATAGATGATGGTAGCTGCTATGGACACTGAGGACAACAGAGCACACGTTCAAACCCAGTTTGCCTTCAATAGACGATCAGAGCACTTTCAACATCTTGCTGTCCTTGTTTCCTAACATGTCAGTCTACTTCAGTGGACCAGGAATCATGTCTCACTGGTCTGCATTCCCTGAGCCCAGCACAGAAAGTACTCCGTAAATGTTCACTGAATGAAGGCATCCTTAGCATTTGCCTGTGTAGTGATGATTAGTAGACTCTCATGGTTTTTATAATTCATCTAATAACCAACAACTAATATTATTAAACAACTGAATTATGCAACTGAAACACTTTGGACGGCCACACTGCATGAGTTTAAATAAACTGAGCATTTCCATCAAATAAAGCCAATTATCCCCTTGGAAGAACCCATCCTCTTCCCTAGTATAACAGGAGCTGACACTGATTTCTTTAGCAAATTTATTAAGATGTCTTGGGTATAGATTAACTTACTCTGCATGCTATTTAGAGTTCCTTCTATCTCTGAAATAGGGAGTTCCAGCTCACTGATGAATTACTGGAAACATTCTCCAATTTTACTTTCCTCCTTAAGTAAATACTTCTGCCTCTGTGGTGCCAATGCTATGTAGTGGCTCCTTGGAACAGCAATGTTCAGTGCATCACTGCACTTCTCCGCTCCTCCTCCAGCAGCAGCATACCCTAGAGGATTCCTCTTCCCTCTTCTGGAGTGGAGGATCATAAAGGTATGGCTTAAGCCCACGGCACCCACCCTTTCTACATGAGAATCAGCAGGCAATTCACTTAATGCCTCTTGGCAAGAACAAAGGCAACCCTAGCAATTACTGTCAAACTCTGGTTTAAGGCACATGATCAGCCAAAACATTTTTTAACTCCCAGAGCAGTTTTTTTCACTTTGGGAATTCCTTCTTTAATTCAAAAATAAATTTATAATACACTGCCTTTTTCCTGGATAACTAGAGGAAGAGGGGGAGGTGACTACTATGGCTATAGCTACTACTTGTTAATCACCCAATGGGCATCAGCATTACACCCAGTGCTTGATTGAGAGGCAATGTAGAAAACAGTCAAGGGCATAGATTGCACAGGTTCATAGGTTCTCATCCTAGGCAAAGTAGCTCTGAGTGGTGAGTTACTGAAACTTCCTGCCTCAATCTCCTCCTCTGCTAAGTGGGAATAAAAATAGTACACTACCTTATAGAAATCTTAGGAGAATTAAATGAATAAAAATAGGTTAAGAACTGTTCTGAGTAGAACAATATATATATATTTTGAATTGGAGTCTCACTCCGTCGCTCAGACTGGAGTGCAGTGGCATGCTCCCAGTCACTGCAGCGTCAACCTGCTGGGCTCTGGCAATCCTTCCACCTCAGCCTTCCAATTAGCTGGAACTACAGGCGTGCGCTACCACGCCCAGCTAATTTTTATTTATTGCAGAGATGAGGTCACGCCAAGTTACCCGGGAGGGTCTCGAACCCATGGGCTCATGCAATCCACTTACCTCGGCTTCCCAAAGCGCTGGGATTACAGGCTCTGCCACTGAGCCCGGCTTAGAACAATATTTGATAAATAACAAATGCTCACTCAATAATTAGCTCTTTTTTTTTGAGTTGGAGTCTCACTCTGTCACCCATGCTGGAGTGCTGTGGCATGCTCACGACCACCGCAGCCTTAACTTGCTCGGCTCAGGTGATCCTTCCGCCTCAGCCTTCCAAGTAGCTATAACTACTACCCAGCTTTGTTAACTATTGAAATTACTTGAAGGCAGTGTCTATATATCTCATGGGTAACATTTATTGAGTGAAACTCAAACCAAGGGTATCTGATAAATAGAGCTGGGACTGAATCCAGGTCTGACTCCATGATGGAGAAGGAAAGAAAGGAAAGTGGGCATGGAAGGTAGAGGGGAAGAAAAGGAGGACACATGGATACTTACCCTATACAGACACAGGATACACATCTCTCTATATACACACATGTATTTTTGTATACATACACATTAGAGAGCAATAGTTAATATTTATTGAACTCTTTTTAACCTCTTTACATGTATCAACTCTATTCTTACAATAGCCTTGTAATACAAACATTATTTCCATTTCACCAAGGAAGAATCTGAGGCCAAGAGAAATGAAACAGCTTGCCCAACAGGCAGCAGCTAGTGAGTAGTGGGGCTGGAACTCGGAGCCAGGGGTCTTATCCAGGCTATACACAGGTTCTCAGCAGGAGAGCAGTCAGAAAGGCAGGGAACTAAGAAAGCAGTACAAGCTGAGCTCGGTGGCTCAGCCTGTAATCCCGCGCCTTTGGGAGGCTGAGGTGAGTG